TGGTTTCCTTGGTATTGCAGTCAGATGCATTGTGGTTGAGATATAATCCTTGATTATAAAAATAAATAGCTTTCCTCTCCCTCAAGTGAGATATCTTGTGCAGTGTAATATCTCCAGAAAGTCCAGCTTTACTCCTTCAAATCCCAGCTCAAATATCCAATTCATCTCACAATATATAAGACGGGGTCTCCTACATCATGGTGAAGCTGCTTGACATGACGTTTACGTTCAATGTTGTCGTTGGCTAAACAAACTTCTGGCTGCAAAGGTGAACTCATTACACAAAATAAGGGAAATCTAAGAGGCACGTGTCAAAGAAAATCCTCAACATCATGGGGAAATGAGGAAAACAAGAAACCTGACAGTTTTCACAGTCTTTGAGAATTCATTTGATCGATGACTTGTTGAGAGGCTGATTCATGAATGAAATACTTTTGGAATGAAAAGTAGATCTTTTATGGCTATTTTAATTTCACTGATGTTTGTTCCTGGGGCTCACACAGTTTTGGAATATATATTCCTCAGTGCTGAACTCATGGCTGATTTCCTAACATATTATTAAAGTGTTCTTAATATAAAAAGCACCAATAATGCTCCTGAATCTCTTATTTTAAAAATCCTCATTATGTATAAAATAATACTGACATTTCCCTTATACAGTATTTACAGGAACGTTCATAAATATGAATTGGTCAAACATGTTTGGACCTGGTAAAAATAATACTTTAAAGATTGTGAAGTTTGATACAACTACAAGCATTTCCTCACGAGTACCACTGGAGTCTCTTCGTGTAGGCGCACCAAACCCCCATAGACCAGACTGCTGAGAGGATCATCATAAGAACTTCTTTGGCACGTTCCCCATCACAACAGTGTGTGATTGACAAGTGTGTTTTAAAAAACAAATACTGCTGGCGGGGGAATTGAGAATATTTGAAAGTGAACCAGCACTTTACTCTCTCTTGCTTTTAAATATATTGAGGAGGATGTGAAGGGAAAGATGAATGTTATGTCTAATGTCTACAACAAACAAATAAGAGAGAGTCCAGAGGAAGAAAGAGACAAACTAGCCTTCATCTCTCCACCTCGGATGATGCTGTCGGCCACTGACTCTCTTGGAAACTTTCCAGCTGCCATGGTGCATCTTTAGCGGCGTCCTTGTTCCACAAGCTATGGATCGTCATTGCAGGCAGATTCCTTGCACCGGGTTTCAGGCGCTTTTGAGTCTTGCTGTTCTCGGTATTGGATTTGCGAGGCGGGGGAGTGGCGGTCTGCTTGGCAAATTGGCCTTGTGACGAGGATCCCCGCTGGTGCTGCTGAGGGACTTTCAGAGTTCCATTTACAGAGGCTGAGAGTGTCTCCAGAAGTTGGGAGGCTGAACCAAAGCGAAGTTCCTCCTGCGTCTTAGCAGCTTCGTGCAGAAGAGGAGCAAAAGTGCCACTTCGCTTACTGCAGGATTCACAGCAGAGCTTGTTGTAACCTGGTATCGGGCAATAACGAGCCAGAACCTCCATCTGACAGAATATGGACTTGTCTCCTCCGCATGGCTCATCTGTCAGAGAAGCAGAAGGCTTTATTTTTTTACATTTTATTTCTCACACTTTTCCACATTTCAGCTTTTTTGAATACTCAGGGTCTTTATGTCATCAATATTACCAAACACTGAAGAAACAATGTCTCTTTACATGCAGTAAAATAGGCTGCCCATGCACAACTATGACAGTATTTCACCTAATAATATTGACCACAACGGGAGTTCACCCAATAGTTCACCCTCATGCCATTCCAAATTAGTATGACTTTCTTCCTTTTGTGAAACACAAAAGGCTTTTTTTTAACATTATCCTGGCCGTTCTTTGTGTTACGTCTGACATCAGATTCCTCAGATGCCAAAAGCAAACAAATGATGCTAATATACATACACAGTGTGCTGTACTACTATGACAAATCATTTGGCCAGACAGTTATTCTTTTCTGAATCATTAAAATATATGTTTTGAATACATGCTGTTTTTATACAGTACATAATCTTTTTTTTAATATTCAGATAAAAATCTGTTGATTTTGATATTTGATTATCACACAAATAGTGCAGAATCTTATTTCTTATTTTTTCTGAAGCATTTCTTCATAAATTGCTTTTTACATTTTTCAAATTTTGTTTATTTTAATGTTTAAATTAGACTTTGAATAAAAGATTTACAGTGTGACCCTACTGAATACCATTGTATGTGTGTGAACGCTCATCTGTAGACTAGCGCAGGTTAATTCTCACACATAGTATTCATAGCTCCTAACCAGCTGTGTGACTATGAGGAAATTGTATGTCAGAATGCAGTTTTCCCTATTGCTTGTGTACAAGTGTTTATCGCTCTGGTCTACAGGTTTAGAACGACACGAGGGTGAGTAAATGTTGACCGAATTTTTGGGTGAACTTTCCCTCTAGTCTCCATAATTAGTGATAAATCAGTGGAGTAAACGTTGTAACTGTAGATTACATTGTGACACTTATGTGTGGCTCACTCGGACTTGCATCATTTCCTGATCCCCTCAGCTATACTTTATTATTCTGCTCTCCTCTCACTGTTCTAATCAAAACAAAAGAAAAAGCCCACAACAAATGCAGCAGTCATGAGGTCTTTCAATTAATGTAAGTCATTAAAAGAGCCATTCCAGTTGAAGCTGGTTTATAGATTGCTGTCACCAGATGAAGCACAAACGAGTTTTTCTTTTAGAATTGAAAAGAAGCTAAATGCCTCCAACTCCCTAAGGAGTCCTGCTTTATACTGTACGCAGTTGAAAAGTTAAGCAGTGTGCCGCAAGAGTGCCATTTGTAAAGGGTAGGTGTTTTGTTAACCTTCCACTGAGATGGATGTCATCCAGGTGCGGGTAAAAGCATTAAAGAGGAATTAGAGGAAGCATCATGCAAGCAGATATAAAGAAAGTGTTATTCATAGTGATGTCTGCTGTGTTCTAACAAATAAGGCTGACCAGCTGAGCGTTAGCAATAAAAGATTGGAGGAAACTTCTCGAAAGCAGTGAGTTCTCTTGAATAAAGTTAGGCTTTCATGTTTGCAAAGAAACTGTGATTTTTCTGTGCTGTAGGCACTACACATCATGGCAGTAAAACATGTTGCATTCATCACTAAGATAAATGTACAATTTCTAGCTCATAGATTCGGAAATGCGACTGGTTTTGGGAAGAAATGTTGAAAGAGAGTAGATTTATGAATATGAAACAATGCCAAAACTCATGTTCATTTCCAGCTTGTAGGCATTATGTGATCGAATTAATAGCTTTCTCATACGTAATGCATGACTAAATAAAAGTTCTCAACAGACAACTGAGACAAGGTAAACAAGCTTCTCCAGAGAGCAGTTGAGAAGTTCACAGACCACAAAAGCATTCTGGGAAACTGACTGTGGTTAAGAGCACCATGAATAATGTCATCAATGCAGATGAATTTGTGCATTGTGCTATATTTTCCATTCTCTTTCAATAGACTTATTTTTGTTGAATGAACAACATGAACAGATCAGCCGTTCAAGACTCCATAAAATCGCTTAATGAATGCAGACTGTTGTCCCCGTGTTGCTCTCTGTTTAAACCAATTCTCTGCTTTGGCTTTCAGAGTTTGCAATGGCGTGTCTGTGTTGTCTTACCATGGCAGGGTCCTGGCCTGCAGGGCCTGTGTGACTCAGGCTTCTCACCGGTGCATTGATCTCCAATGCGACATGTGACCAGACGTCGTACCACACCCTCTCCACAGGACACCGAGCACTGAGAGAAAAGAAAGAAGTTGAGGAGAACCTACAAACTACATATATATGACTTCAAACATCGAACACTGTGTCCTAAACAAGCACAATGCGATTTGTTTATCCAAGACACAATCACAGTCAGACAGAAGATATTTGATGTTCAATGTACAGTTATGAGGAGCAGAACTTTAGACCAATGAGATGTCAATGTAAACGGGGCTACAAAGAGTGACACTGCAGAAACAGAAACCAGGGGCCTGCAGGCCAAAGTTGACCAGTGATGACCTTTTTTTATTATTTTATTAAGCAAATTTCATTTTTATAACATCATTTTTAATATAATACAGTTGAATATAAAGCAAGATTTATATTTGGCCCAAGGCCCTCAATCAAGTTTGATTTCTGGCTCTTCTCAGTAAAAGGTTTGGGATCTTCTGATCTAGTGTATGAATTTTATGAAGTTATTTTGCATCAGATTCTGATAGCTTCTCCCCTTCCCGTATGTAAGAAAAGCTGTGACAATTAAGTACATGAAGTTTCCAACAAACTTTTTTTTTTTTTCGGTTAATTAAGTGCATTTATTTGAAGTGCCATTTGTTTTCTTGGAATTTTCAGTGTGAACACACTATTTATACTACAAACTGGCATAGAGTGCATGAGCATGCAAACTGGTATGCGCCTAATGTCCAGTTTATGAGTTTACAGTCAGCCTAATCAATGACTCATTGTTCATTGACAGAGCTTGCTGTTGAATCCGTTTGCTTGGGTTCAAAATCAATACCACATAGACTGGTTCAACAGAGGATTACACCGACCTGCAGCGTACTGGCTTGAGCTTGATATCTCTGCATAATATTTCAAATCTTCAAAAGTCTTCTGGCAATGAAACACTCAAAGCCTGGATTTTAGCTTCACATTCTGACACAGCTGGGTAATGAGGTTACTGTCATGAAATTCTCTTGGTGAATCAAAATCATTACTGACTTAAAATCAATGGAAATGTCAGGACTCGCTTAGACATTATCAGTGAAAGAGAATGGTTCTAATTTCAAGGTAAAAAGTACAAACTAAAAGGAAATAAGCCCTAATTTGTTTATTTTCTTGACACTCTAAAAAACAAAACAAAAAAATCCTAGGATGTATTAAACATTCTTCAAATTAGATTTTTTTAGTTTCACAATGATTTCAAGCCCAATTACACTGAAAATTGCTTGCAGATAATATCAAAATAGAATTGAACCAATCTTCTCACTTTCCCAATACGCTACTCTCAAAAACCTTGACAGCTAACGCTTTTGTATTCATAGCAACAAAACATCATGTGACCTGAGAAAAACATACCTCTGACCAGGCCTCGGTTCCCCATTGGGCAGGGCAGGGCACTCTGTTACATGGCCTCCTGATCTCAGGCTTTTCCCCGCTGCAATACTTGCTGTGGATGGAGCGGTTTGTGCCTTCATGAAGGAACTGGACACAGCGCACGGTGCGGATTTGGTATCCCAAGCTCCCACAGGTTTTAGTACAATGTTCCCACTCCTCTGTGATCCATCTGTCAGAAGACAAATGAAATCTGCTTGCTAAGTTGTGATGTATCGAATAGTGTTTCCATGTCCAAACCTCTACTTAGTTTCATATGAGAATACCATCTCAACAGCTGTATATGATACCACACCTTTAAAGGGATAGGTCAACCAAAAATTCAAATTCTGTCATCATTAACTCACCCTCAAGTTGTTTCAAACCTGTTTGAGTTTGTAACAACTTGAGGGTGAGTAAATGATGACAGAATCATTATTGGGTGAATTATAACTTTAAGCTAATCATCAGACAAATAATTATCACAAACTAATTTATTTTTATTTATTTATTCTTTGTTTGTTTTTTGTTTTTATTAAACTAGGCCTATTCTCTTCACAGTGATAATCTCTTCTTTTTTTATGAAATTGAAACGAAAATGATAAACCATGAATTTGTAAAGAAATATATAAATACATATGCTGATTACATTAAAAATGTTAATCATTCTGATTCTAAAAAAAATCTCTACAGTTTTCAATTATCCTTATCTATCTGACTAGTGTTACCATTCACAGGTCGGTCCCATTATTTCATGACTATAAAACTGCACACCACATTTCCTGCTTATTTCTTTGACAGACCAGCTGCTAACAAATCTGTGTAGTATAAAATGAATCAGATCGTTCATTTAACACTCAGAATGTGATCAGAGAATGTAAAAACTTGGCATGGTGAACTAAAAGTGGGACGCATCTGCAGCTCTTTTATAAACCTCAAGACCAATCTTACAATTAAGAATAAATCATAATAGATATTTTGAGAAATATATCAGTGGCTTTTTTGTCCACACATCTAGAAGTCACCAAAACTGTCTGATCACCAGCATTTTTCAAAGTATCTTTTGTGTTCCATAGAAGAAGCAGTAATGAAGGTTTGGAATGACACACCGTAAAAGATTTCAAAATTCAAAACTGTATGTTGACTTGCTGTATTGAACATTTTCAGTTGGCTCAATTCAATTATGTGAACTGAAAGTCTTTTAACATTGGCACTTCAGTTGAACTGAATTTTTTTTCAATGCAGCAAGTCAACATAAAAATTTGAAAAGATTTTTTGCATGAGGGTGAGTAAATGATGATACAGTTTTCATTTTCGGTGATCCCTTTTAATCAGTTTTTATGATGAACAATAGATGCCATATTTATCGGAGAATCATTGCTGTAGACCCTCCAGAGTTTACACTGGAGAGAAGAGTAAAGTAAAAACTACTGACTATAATTGACCTGCCACCCCTTCACAATAAATACACTTGTGGAAATGAGGAACATGTTCAGCGACTGAACCAGCCTGTGTAACAGAGAGCACTACAGAAGGTCATTTACGCCTCGTTTGTGACTTTATAACTCGTCCATGTGGTGCATCAGCAGAGGCATCATTGACCTGTGTGAACTGGCATAATTAAACAGTGCAGCCTGTACTACTGCTCTTATGTTATACACCTTGAACATACACTGACATCTGCTTAGATATAATAGTTGTGTTGAAAGATTCAAATGAAAAGTCACATTAATTGAAAAAATGTATTTTAATGGCTTAATGCAAAATGCTGCTCTTCTAGCTATCTCCTGCTATCGTAACGCGCATAGCCCGAAGTGCTTTTAGTGTTCATGTGATTACCAGCATCATGCTTGATTGTAATGAAGTGCTTAATACAATAAACAGCCACATGACATGGTCAGGAAGTCAACGTATTACAGGCAGGTTAATGCTTTTTTCAGGTAAATACATATGTGAGGATGTCAACGGGTCATTCTTTAAAAGATTTGATTAGAAACTAAAGAACATGAGGCGTTTACGTACCCCGGAAAGTGTCTCACTTGCTGGATTAATTTACCATACTGGAGTGTTTAAGATGGATTTAGGGTGCTTTTTTGAAAAGCCTGTTTGCCTGCTGAATATCGTGGCTTAAACAGAAATGTAACTGATAAGATGAAGTGAAGACTGTGCAGCCATGTCCTCACCTTCACATCCTTTGAAACATTTATGACATTCTATCTGTCATGGTGCACAAAATGACTTTTTTTATAATAGGTTGTACATGCCACACTTTTTTTATATACAGGTTTGGAACAACATGAGGGTGAGTAAATGAAGGATTTTTCATTTCTGAGTGAATTAACCTTTTATGCCTGTTGAAGACCATGCTGGGCAGAATAGAGATGTTCTACCGAGCTTGTTAATAAAACAAGCCACCAAAACCTCAGCAGCAGAGTGAGGAGAATGTAGACTATATACGAAGCTGCAGGCTGACCTGCAGAATAGATATATTCCCTTAACTCCTGCATGTTTATTAAATATTTAAGTTCATTTAATTAATGCTTTTAGCATTAAGATATGGTTGTTTTTGTTGACACATTTTACTATATTGAATTATTTTTCCACAGATTTTCCAGCAAAAAAAACTACTTATTAATAGGGAGGCAAGGGAAACTAAAATGTCCACCACCTGCAGAGACAGCTTCAAGAGTGAGGAAGATAAAAAAAAAAAAAACTAGGACAAGTGAATGCAAAGGGAATGGGAAAAGGGAAATGCAGGAAGAACTGCAAGCACAATCTTATCCTCCACAGATGGGAAGATGTCGGAGCCCTTGTGAATGATGGGCACACCAAGGAAATATCAGAATCGAAATAGGAAGGAGTCACAACAGCTGACTCCAGCAACAGTTCAGCTTGTGGAAAATGAAATGATTTTGCAACAGATCCTGTAGTTAACCATTACATTTCTATAGTTGTCATTTTTACCCCTAAAAATATTCAATTGTGCACCTTTACAAACCCTATTTATGGTGATTGTGTTCACTTTCAAAAGTATTAAGAGATATAAATGAATAATCATGCCTCAATCGGCAGAGATTTTTCATTCCTGTGCCACATTAAAAGTATAATCTTTGAGAAAGTATAAAGCTTGTGGTGGCTTTCCTCTCAGAATGAAATATGGAACATGACGTGGGAGAGTAAACAATTGACTATCACACATCAGAGGCTCAAATTCTAATCCCATTAAAAGTGTCCTGTGGAGCTCTACAGCGCTAGTCACTCTGATGCTAGTTTATCAAAGGAACTGATTACTCATTTGAAACATCTACCACAATATGTTCTTTCATTTAGCATATCTAGAAGTCTCAAATATATGATTTATAAAGCTCAGCCATCTGTTAGCAGGTGGTGGCATCCACTTTATTCCCTCTTAATACAAGTGGATTTTGAAATGCTGAAAAGCCACTGATACAGAGACTTGTACCCCAATAGAGATTGAGTATATCTTGATAAAAACATATTTGCAAAAGAGATTCACTCCAACTTATGAGTAGACCTAGTGTCAAGGTTCTGTCACTTCAGTCTAGTTTATTCATGGTTTTGTGACAGAGCACTGACACTCCTGTCATGTCTTTTTTTCATGGGAGCGCGCGGCTTTGAGTGCGTTTTGATCGAGCCTATGGCTTGTGATTGTTTTGCTGGCCATGTGCTTGTGCTTGATTTTTTGTTTTGTGTGAGCACATGGATTTTGTTTGGTTTGTTTCTGTGTGCCGTGCTCTCATGTCTTTTGTCTTGACCCCACCCTTTTTGTTATCTGATAATTGGTTCAGTTGCTCAACCTGTGTCTCCCTAATTAACCTCCTTGTTTGCTCCCTATTTATTCTTCTTGTGTTTGCAGTCCTGTGCCAGTTCGTTGTCGAATGTACCCATGGTGGTTCCTGTCTTGTCCAGCCTTGCCTTGCCTTGCTGTGCCCTATCCTGGCCTGCCTGCCTATTTTCCTCCTTGGGGTAGTTTGTTTAGTTGTTTTATTTTATTGTTAATAAAAAGCACATTTATACTGCATATTGAGTCCTCGCCTCTTCCCTTCACCCAAACCTGACACCTATTCTGTTATTTGAATGTAATAATGTGGCTTCATCGAAATGTTGCTCTAACAGACACTGTTTATACCCTTGACTGCTCAAGTGCTTAATGTAGATGCTATAAATTGCATATAGAATAGCTGATGAAATATGAAGATGAACCTAATTAATGTATTCATATCCATGCCTTTTGTGACATCACAACCAGCATGTCTGCAAAACCTCAACTGTCCCAATCTCTTTTTAAAACAAAATGATGCCCATGAATTTTCCAGACATACAGTAAAACAAGGAAAACTTTTGCGCACATGTAACCATTGAACAAACAATTGGGATAGACTGCAAAACTCAGCCACTATATAAATGGATATAAATCAAACACTACAACAGCTCCTTACAGTTCAAGTGTAATTCATCTAGAAGACTATACAGAAGTAAAAATGTCATTTCCATTGACAAAAAAACAAAACGTAGGTCTCATAGAAACATTTTTCAAGTAGTGATATGATTATTAAACAGCTGGATCTGTTGTGAAGACTATAAGCCTATGAACAGCAGAAAGCGCAGAGCATATAAATTGATATGACAGATGGCTATGGCTGATAAAAGAAGAATATCTGCTTGAGAGAACACTAAAAACTTAAATGTGTTTTATTTTTCTTTATGAGAACTTCAAACCAGAGTACTGAAAAACTCAAAGCTAACAGGTGGAGAGACAGTGGGATTGTGATGTTGTGATAAAAATATACAGCATTTACAACCTACTGTGCATATTTAAATGAAAAAGATGTGCTGAGATGATGTGCGCTCAGTGATTTGTGTAGGTTCTTAATAATTCTTATATATACATTCCATGCATTAATGATACAAGCCAGTCATGGACACACGTTGGATACAAACAAAACAAAAGCAACTACAACTATATTTCTGGTTTTCTTTCAGAAAGGTTGGAAGAAAGTCATGAGGCTGAGGCAAACTATTCCCAGATATGAAAGATATGCACAATCACACGCTGAGATTTCTTCTTAGCTTCTGATAAGAGAGATGAATGAAGCAAGAATACCCAATGGTATAACGCAATCAAAATCCAGCTCAGAGCTCTCCAAGCTAGAATTGGGGAAGCATGAGTGCTTATACTTTATTTAGTGATGTTTATACTGAGTTAAATATGATGAAATAAGAAATCCCATACTGTACCATGACAACCCATTCTAGCTTTCATTTCAGTGAAAAAGACTACAGTTATTGTGAGCTGTGTTAAAAACTGTTTAAATGCGACTTACTGTGGTTGTGTGCAGTCCTGTAAGTTACACATTCTTCGAATAGGTTTGGGTTTCTTGTTGATGTCACAGTAGCCTCTGTGCACCATTTTGTTGTCACCTTTCTTACGACACCCATATTTGGTGTATTGGAATCCTAAAGATTAAATAAAATGAAAGAACCAAAAGAACCATGATGCGTAATGTTACCAGACTGGGCTACCAGAACTAAATCCACCTCAATAAACCCAATAGACCCTTATGTTTTTTCTTGGGTGTCACAATTATTAAAGTAAAAATGAATAAACTAATGATTAAAAATAATTTATAATGAATTGAATATATATTCATAGGTTATGTCAAAAATGTGACGTATACATTAATATTGATTTGAATTATTATATACAACTGGATACAATTGATTGCATTAATTATTGCAAATTGTAAACTATAGTATTGCCCAAAAATAATCCGCTAAATGTGACTATAAGGCATGCAGATTTTAAGATATTATAAATTTTTACATCATGATTTGTGTACTGTGAAAAGTGCTATTCAAATAAATGTACATATTTGAGTAACATAGAAGAGCTAATAGATTGTTAGAGTTGAACGTTACCTCCAGCACAAGGTCTTGAACACTGGGACCAGCTCTTGAGTGCCCACTCATATGTGTCCTCCTGAATGACATTATTGTTGTTAAGGGGCACTGAATCTTCGTGGACGATGTATTTGTACATTAGTGTGGACCTCGTCTCGTTGTCTTTAGGTATAATCTAATGGAGATGAAAAACAATAGGACAAAATTTTCAAAAATAACAAAGTGATAGTTACAGGCATTTGATTATGTATGCAGGGATTTAGCATTTGTTCATGCATATGTAAGAGTATGCAGATTTATGTGTTGCCCTCTGTGTGAGATGACACAGAGGGCAACACTGAGGATCTGTTTAATTACATTTGAAAATGAAACGAGCATGACAAGCCTAACTCCACATGCTTGTGGAATCGTCTCAAGGACGACTAATTTTGCATTAGTTTGTTACTGCTGTTGTAACTTGTTTGTAAATTTCATGCGTACTTCAAATATTCATATTCTAATAGTCATTTGCATTTTCCTAATACTGCAACCCGATATAAAATCAATATGCAAGTCAGAGATTAGGATTCAGAAGCCAGAACATGCCATTTTAAATTTATTCGAAGCAATTTTTGCATTTCGTGATGGTGTGAAAAAGGTGCTGAACCCATTAAAATGATAAAATTCCTGCATTCATTTTGCCTAAATTTGAGGTAACTAGTAAGTAGCTAACGAAAAGCACTGGTCAGAAACAAATTTGTGTCTGTGTGTAAAGATCACAACTTCATTATTAAAAACACTGGCCTGAATAAATCCACTGATCATTTCCAAACGGAAGACATTCAATATTGTTTTTGTGTTCATGAATTCACCTTATGGGGAACAGTAAACACAAGTGTAAATGGGAGGATATCATTGGAAAAATCATAGCATTCAAATCAAATTATTTTTAGTAGAACCAAATGCTACTTTCAAAGAATGACATCTGGTGGTAGAAATATCAGTTTTTTTCAGCCTGAGAACCCAGATGGCTTGTGGTCATTAAAGAA